CAATAAGTAGAGAAAGATACTTATCAAAAGTACATGAGATCCTTTAATAATCTAGATCAACAAATAACCAATAAAAACTAAATACAATCTATGAATCAGTTTATAATAAAGCAAACAATCATGGGCTAAAAGAAATTCATGAGGTTTAGCCCATGATTTTAGCAACTAAATTCATAAAAATGGAATTCATAAGCATAAACAGGATTAAACTAAAAGTGAAAATCGTAATTAAGAGTTTTATGGCCTTAATGCTCTCAATTCCCAAGCTTCAGTTGATTGTTGTACTTCCAAGCCTTAATTCACAACCTTGATCTTCGAAATTCGTCAGAAGCTCCAACTAAAAGTTTTCAATTCGTAGGAGAATGTGTTATATTTATAGTTTTCTCGAAATCAGGGCACCACAACGTGTTGAGGTCACCACGTCGTAGCTTTCGTGTTTATCCCAGCATGACTTTTACCCCTACAACACAATACATAACAAATTAAGTACCTTTTGTTCTATAATTGGCATAAAAGTAATTAAAATATTAAGATATGATGTATAATTATGTGTATAGATATGCACATTTCACTAACTCTCGATTGATTATTGGAGAAGTACTGGACCATGTATAGTTGATGACTTGTCCAAGTGGGAGACTATTCGAAGATTGTCCAAGATCATTAACTGTTGGTAATATTTCTAATAATAATAGGGTCCTTTTGGATTACCCTCAAGACCCAAATTGAGTAGAATAAATAAAAGAGAAATTAGCTTATTAATTATTATGGTTAATAATTAATTAGAAACTAATTGGAAATATATTTTGGGAATTAATTAATAGTTTAATTAATTAAAGGGTTAAATATTCAGTTAATCAATAGTTGGTTCATCAAGAATATTATAGAACACTTATGGAATTAGGGTTGGACGAAAATCACTATATCTCACATGGGAAAGGGAGTGAATTTCGTTATAAGCATTCCATCCTACACGTGAATGAGTACAAAACCTAAGAAGGCATCCAAGGCTGTAAATAAGGTCTTAGGGATTTCATTCTTCCTTGCACCTTGGTTTTAAGTTTCGCCAACCCTTCTTCCTCCTCCCATAGGGATGATTTCTAACCCTCTTAGGGTTTATGAAATTGACCATTCTCTTAGTTAATTTTATTCCACTCTTTGGTGTCATTAGGTGTGATACATTAGAGGGATTCTGGTTTGGGTTCTCTCATAAGCAACTTTGTGGATGACAAGATCAAGATCTCAAACATGGAGACTAAGGGCTACATAACAGGTATGTTTTTCTTCCTTATGTTTTTATGTTTCATAGGGTAGCTATAATCCATAGATCCTAAGGTGCATGTACACTTAGGTATATTATAGTTTGATTTTCCGCTACCTTGTTTAAGTGTATTTGATGCATAGAAAGTCTAACAAGAAGAAGAGGAAGATCATCTAACACACCATCTCAACATTTAATCCTCACCATTATTCAACTTCACACCTCCTGGACTCTTGTAAGTTTCCATGTTTCATGCTTTATGATTCAATAAGCTTAGATCTAGGTTTTTATGCATTATCTTTCATGTATGGGATGATATAATGTTTGGGATCCATAAATTTGCCAACTTTATGGATCTTCGGTGTCCTTTTGATGAAATAAGTGTTAGATCTAAAGTATGGTTAGGTTTTAAGACTCTTGCATGAGCTTTTGATGCAATTTCTTCCTTTTGTGCGATAGTTTGTGTTTAGGACATGTATTGAACATGTATGTCCAAAAATTCATGATCTTTATGATGTTTTAAAGTAGATAAGGCATTCCAGAAGTTTTGATTGATTGTCTAAAAGAATTAAGAGCTTATTGCATCAAGTTGTTCAGAGCACTTCTCACGGTGTGAGCATTTGTGGCCACGAAGTGAGAATGGAATATTTTGATTATATTTTCTTAATAGGTCATGACGTGACCACTAGATAGTCACAACATGATGACTGGTTGTGTGACTTTTAAGTGTGGATTTTGACCATTGATCGTGACCAAGTTTAACTTTAGGTCAATAAGGTGATATGAGTAGTGGATTGGAGCTTGGTCCCTGTTTGTGGTATATATGACCTGTAGAGCCGGTATTTTGAGTAACCTTCAGTTTAACTATCTTTCAGACATTAAGGTGAATTTTCCCTCACTGTACTCGTGGTTCGAAGGCACCAATGCTGGCCCACTCAGTTGTATGACGTATCCTGGTATATAGGATGTTGTCATGTTGTAGTGTTGTGTTAGACTTTGTAGATCTGCATGATTATTTATTTGCTAGTTATATGTTTATTTGTTGCATATGTCAATATAGTGTAGTTGGGTTGAGGCAATAATGCTCTGAAGGAAGCCAACAAACCTGGGAGCATCAAGACATAAGTTAAGGGCATGGAAGGTAGGGGTGAGCATTTGGACCGGTGGACCGGACCGGACCGTTTTTTTAGACCCCCGGGCCGGTTCTCAGTTCTAAGATTTCTCTCCGGTCCGGTCCGGTTTTTTTCCCGGTTCGGTCCGGGTTTTACCGGGTTTAGAACCGGTTGGACATGATTAAGATTTTTGTGATGTTTTCTAAACACCTATAACTCATTCGTTTTAACTTGGATTGACCTGCGGTTTTTTCCAATATTTATTTTATAGTTTGTAGATGAATTTAGACTATAATTTTGTGTATTTTGGTATTATATTCACCGCGTTACAATCCTTCAAAGATAGAGCTATTAAAGCTGAAAAAATTCAGCTTTTCAGCAACATTTTGTAATCTGTGATGTTTTTTAAACACCAATAACTCATTCATTTTAAGTCGGATTGACCGGAAATTTTTTCCAACATTTAGTTTATAGTTTGTAGATGAGTTTAGACTATAATTTTGTTTATTTTGGTATTATATTCACTGAGTTACAATCATTCAAAGTAGAGCTATCAAAGCTGAAAAAATTCAGCTTTTCAGCAAGATTTTGTAATCTGTGATGTTTTTTAAACACTATAACTCATTCGTTTTAAGTTGGATGGACCTCTGGTTTTTTCCAACATTTATTTTATAGTTTGTAGATGAATTTAGACTATAATTTTGTTTATTTTGGTATTATATTCACTGAGTTACAATCCTTCAAAGTAGAGCTATCAAAGCTGAAATATTTCAGCTTTTTAGTATTATTTTATACTATAATTCCGAGTCCGCGTTTAGCACATGTGGTAGAGTTGTAAGTGAGTATCAGACTAGTTTATCGATATTGATAGTTGAAGCTTTTTTATGCACCCAAGATTGGGTGATAAAGTCTACAAATCCGATAGTTGACAACGTTGATGACATCTTGAACGATGATGATATAGCTTTGGGTAAAAAAATTACAATCTTTATTCTTTTTTTATACAATTATTATTTTTTATTAAATACTAACAATATTTTCATTTGTGTTTATGTAGAGATTGCACAAGATTTAAATACGTTACATATGGATGACAATGATATGAGGAAGAGACCAATAGAAAATTAGATTATGAGTTTATGAAGTTTATTAGTTTGATTGATTTTAAAGTTTAAACTATGATTTTTGTTGTTACGGTAATACTTTTGTAGTTTGTCTTAAGATTGTTTAACTTTTGTTGGTGAACTTGATTTATATGTTAGTTGCGTTTATTTGAAAAATTAATTTTTGCAAATTGCAAATTATAATATTATACATCAATGTAGATTAGTTAGGCATGAAATGGAAACGTATTAATTTTGCAAATTATAATATTATACATCAATGTAGATTACTTATTATACTCTACGCAATTAAACTTGTACCGGTCCAAACGGGTCCAAAAACCGGAAAACCTAGACACGGACACGGACACGGACACGACTCATCCGGTCCGGTCCATGGTCCACAAAATTCTCCATAATCGGTCCGGTCCAAGAGTCGGTCCGGTCCGGGCCGATCCAAATGCTCACCCCTACTGGAAGGCAAACTAGACTTATGATGTGGGCTCAGGAGCAATCCAGACATGAGCTATGGGCCGGGAGGGCAATCCAGTCTTATGTTGTAGGCTCATGGTTAATCCAGTCTTATGGCTGTAGACCCAATATGCATGTTGTTATATGTGCATGTGTGATGGTATTTTGGGAGAACTCACTAAGTTTTTTCTTACAAATTGATTTCATGGTTTCAAGTACATCAGAGGATAGGTACAACACATCATCCTGGACTTTTATATGACTTATGATTTTGGAATACTCTGATTCATGTTTATGGTTTTGAGAAACTATATTTTTATGTAACTTATGGGTTTTAGATTGGTTCTAAAAATGAAAATTTTGGTCATAATTTTGAGATGTTACATAACACCCCTAACCTCTTGAGCATGTTAGTGATGTCAATGTCAAGTTTTTTTTTTTATTCAGTGTAATTGGTATTAACATTAGTGACAAATAAGGATTTGAATTGTAATATAATACAATTTAGATGGTACAAAATATATATTTGTATATAAAACAAATTTGATCTCGAACATGATGAAATATGGGAGTCAATGGGGGCAATGCTCACATTTAAAGCTTTACGATTTGTACTTGTAATGCAACGAAAAAATATTATTATCATCATCACAGGAGAACACATCCATTTTGGATCTGCTTAAAGGCAATCCAAGTTGCCTTACATGTGATATGTCTCAATACCCAACCTGTCTATGATAACTCGAAATGCCTAGACGGTTTTTTTAGAAATATTTTTTCAAGTTTTAAAATTGCAGTTTTCATCAATCTTATCATCTAACTTTTCAAATAGATGGTATATATGCTCATATTTCATTGTATTCTGAACTTCCTTACGAAATTGAACAATATATATACTCTTTAGAACGTGTTTTCTATTTTATGCATGATATAGGAGATACTTCTACAAATTATTTCTTGTTAATCTAGACACAATAGAAATAGAAAACGTTAATAACAAAAGTGAGCTTCCTGATATGTGAAAAAATTATTTATCAAACCCATTATGGAAACCTACTTTTTCTAATAAAGTCACGATAATATTGATTTTATTTTCAGAGTTGTCTTGAATATTTTATTTAGCCTCTTTCTAATAACGGATATTCAAATAAAACAAAACACCAATAAAATGTGAATAAATGGATTTCACGTGGCTGTAACCACTGCATCAAGAGTTGTACTTTCACGGCGGCGATGAACAATCCAATCTCAAGTCCCAACCATTTGTAACGAACGCTACCGATTTGAAGTTCTTCACTCCCGCCGCCACCTAGATCTGCTCAAAGAAGCCTATCCTTAATCTCCAATACGCTACCAAAAATGGCAATCAGAGAACCAGAAATCATCAGAAACAAAGAACAGATGAGAAATTGGACAAGATCTATGAGAGCTCAAGGGAAAACAATCGGATTAGTTCCAACAATGGGTTACCTCCATCAAGGCCATCTCTCTCTCATCGCCGAAGCTCGAAAACACGCACAGCTTATCGTGGTCTCAATCTACGTAAATCCCGGTCAATTTTCCGCAAATGAAGATCTGTCCACATACCCCTCTGATTTCCAAGGCGATATTGAAAAACTCCAGTCGACTCCAGATGGCGTAGATGTTGTTTTCAATCCCTATAATCTGTATGATTATGGAGAAGAGAGAGAACGATCGGGTGGGAAGAAGAGAGAGAAAGATGAGGGAGTAGTGTCTTGTTTGGAGGACGAGAGAGGAGGGGGATTCGGACATGAGACATGGATTAGGGTTGAGGGGTTAGAGAAGGGAATGTGTGGGAAGAGTAGGCCTGTGTTTTTTAGAGGTGTTGCTACTGTTGTGGCTAAATTGTTTAATATAATTGAACCTGACGTTGCTGTTTTTGGGAAGAAGGATTATCAGCAATGGCGGATCATTCAACGAATGGTGAGTTCCTTTCTGATTCGTAATTGTTTTCATCTTTTTGAAGCTTAATTATCCGGAATTATGTTGATATACTTCTTCAGATTGTTGTAGAAACGTGTGTTTAAGTGCGAGTGAGTGAGTTTCCATTCTGATTCGTAATTCTCCTTCAAATAATCAAATCCTAGCTAATTATGCTCATAATTTGCATGAAATTGTTTCAGAGATGTTTGTTTGAGTGCCCAGTGAGTTCCTTTCTTGCTTTTGAAGTTGGAATAATTGAGAATGATGTTGTTCCTGAGCTTGAAATTGTTGTATCAGTTGGTTTCTGGTTCATAATGATTCATTTGTTTGATGTTGATACCATGGTTTATCTGTTGGAATTTCATATGTGAATTATGTCGGATTCCCTGCGATGAATTGCTGTAGAAGTTGTGTTGCCATGTGAGTGATTAGGTGCAACTTCTTTTCTCATTCATGATTTCTTTTTTGTTTGGAGTTCATATCATCCCGAGTTATGACCATGGTACTTTGCTTCAAGTTGTTCCTGGAAGTGTGTTCATAGTTCTATTTATATGGATATTATTGATCTTGATGGATTTATGATCAAAGTTTTAATATATATATATATATATATATATATATATATATATATATATATATATATATATATATATATATATATATGCTTCCAGGTTCGAGATCTTGATTTTGCAGTGAAGGTGATTGGTTGTGAGATGATACGAGACAAAGATGGCTTAGCAATGAGCTCTCGTAACGTGTATCTTTCACCCCAAGAAAGAGAACAGGTCAGCTTCCAATTTATTTATTTTTTTTCTCTTGTGGGTCCTCTTTATAAATGTAATAAAAAAAAATTCAAATAGATGTCGAATTTGTTGATTTGATGGTACACAATAAATGAAGGAGCTGCAAAACCTAGAAAGTTTCCTAAAATTGAATGTGATGTTGATATAGTTTCTTGTAGCATGACTAAAAGGACAAGTGGTGAAGTTTTTGAACTATCATATCCATACTTGATTTTGATTGCTAAACCATAATTACATTGAAGTTTGCAAGAATGAACTATATTTTTACAGATGCATCATTGTTCCTTTTTTTGCATCTATATTTTTACAGATACAACAAACTGGTATGTTCTTTTGCGATATTTACAAAAACCATATGCAAGAATTGATCTAATTGGTGTTTACAGTTTGTTAAAGTGTGTATTGTGGAAATGGTAAAGAAATATGTTACAAAATGTTGCAGGCATTGTCGATAAGTCGGTCGTTATTGGAAGCCAAGAAGGGGGGGAGAAACATTTGTAGTGAATTGAGAAGATCAGTGATTGAAAGTATAAAAGCAGCAGGTGGAAAGATTGATTATGTTGAGGTGGAACAATTAAAGAATAGATTACTTGGTTTCGTTTTTCTTTTTTAAGTAAGGAAATTGGGTTGTAAAGTAGTAAAGTTGTGGATTTATGTTTGTTTCAGATTGTGGATCAAGAAAGCCTAGAAGCAATTAACGATGAAGAGATTACAAGTGGTGGAGGTGGAGGGATTGTTATATGTGTTGCAGCATGGTTTGGGAAGGTGAGATTGATCGACAACATGGAAATTGATGTATTGTAGCATATAGCTGATAGCTTATAAATTACACATGGGAACCTATGTTTTATCTGTCAACAATCTCAAATAACTTAACGAATAAATAAATCTAGATAGATTTATAAATTACACATGGGAACCTATGTGTATCAAAAAGTGCAACAAAGAAACAACCTATACAAATATGAAATGGAATATGGTCTCACAATATAAAAGGTATAATAATAAACCTCCTCTTATGTAGTAGAATCAGTTACCAAAAAGAACAAGAAAGAAGCATATTGTATTTGAATAATAATGTTTTCACTTGCCACAGTTGAAGCCACCACAAACGGAAAGAACTATAATCAGAATCAAAGCAATAATGATTCCAAGAACAATCAGTTTTATCTTCATATTCTGCAACCACATCTTTCTTCTCAACTGAGTACCTCCCGTCCTAAAATCCTGTGCCTGCATGCATGCAACAACAACATATCGTAATTTTACATATTATTAAAAAATACAAAATGTTTGCCTTTTTTTTTATCATTTTCAAAAATAATCTATATGTGTAAAAAACTGAAGAAGTTTGTGACAGACCTGAGAACGAAGGTTCTCTGTTTTATCTACCAGAATCTCAATCTTCTCACCACGATCAAGAACCTACAGTAATAAAAGAAAATTAGACAATAGATTGTTATGTTGATTGCAAATTAGAGCTTCTTACCTTCTCAATATTTTCCATCATCACCCCTTTGACTTCTGAAACCTGGGCCTTGACTTTAGAAAGCTTGCTGATCTCTTCTGGATGGTCCACACAATATTGCATCTGTTCCTTCAGCTTTGGGCTGTGATAATCAAAACCAACCCAACCAATTAAAAAATTAAAAGAAGATGACAAATGAATAAAATGGAGAGTGAGATTAGAATACCCAAATTCTTTGTTGAGACTGGTGGCAATAGCTGTTGCAGCTTTCCCACCACCATATTTCTTGGTGAAGTCCTCCTTGATTCGCTCCAGGAAAGCAATTGGAACCTGTCTGCCAATGGCTTCAACCGCAACCACACAGTATGCTTCATACACACAACATAAAGTTAATCAGCATCCAAAACCCAATCAGCTTCTGACTTATCTTCAATAATGTATAAGTTTTGAAGGGAGGGATTAAGATCCAAAAACTATAGCCAACAAATCTCAAATATTTACTAGTCTCGGTAAAGACAAAGATTAACCTTTACGCTGCCATATCATCCAAAGCCATATATTATTATTAATTAAATAACAATTAATCTGCTGCAAGGAACACGTGCAAAGTGCAATGGAACTTTACTTTTAAAGCTAAAGCAAGCTAACGAAATCATTGGTTAAAGCAGATCCCAAGTATAACAGAAGTAACTGCAACATCAAGCATCTCGGATTCACATTCAATCAGTAAATGCACATTGGCATCAATTTCATCAACAAGAAGCAAATCAAACTAGTAGGATCCTCATACTCCATAAAAGTAATCTCCGATAGCATATTCAAAACGAGCATACTTAAGAGAAAGTAAAGATGTACGTTCCTTATTGAACATAGAAAAGAGTTAAGGGGAGAGACGCATCTAAAAATAATAGCATCAATATACGAAACAACAAAGAATAAACAATCAAATCGACTAATCATAAGTTATCATTTCACATTAGCATGGTCAGATCGAGAAAAAAACAAAACGACAAATAGATCAGATCGGACTCACTGTATCCATCTTCGACAAGGTAGTTGAAGGTGTGGCCGTCGCAGTTGTAGGTGAACTTATTGTTGGTGGCAGGAAGCTTCTGGAGACACTGAGCAGCGATGCTAGTGAAATTACCGGTGAATTCCGTGTACTCCGACAGAATCACCGTTCCTCTAGCCACGAAACTGTAGATCAACGACTGTTGTCCCATAATAACCTCCTTCTCTGTCTCCCACGACTATAAAACCGGTCACCGAGCACCACCGCCGGAAGATAACAGATGCACCGAAATGGAGCAAGCGTGACGAAGAAGACGCTGATTAATTCTTAGAGAGAGGATGCAAGAGAGAGAAAGAAAGAGGTGAAATCGAAATGAGATAAAGGATACACTATGGGTTTTCGTATATGAAAAAAGGGGGTTTTGTTGACGTTGTGCTTAATGAAAATGCCTGGGTAGGCGCTAGGAAATTACGGAAATGCCACGCGGTGTTTCATTGAATACGTATTTGAATTTTTCAGATCCACATTGACGTTCCCTCTGAATAAATCCCTTGTAAGTTGTAAATATAAATTTTGTGTAAATAAATGTCAACATGTCATTTTCAATTATTAATAATTCTTGCGTTTATGTAAATTTTAATGGGTTCGGAGTCAAAAAAAACATTCAAACTCTGAAACAGAAATTCCTAAAATAACAAAATTCACACATTTTTAGGTGTTATGAGGTAAAATGTTACACTTTCGTATGTAGTTTGTTTATCGCAACCACTCTCCTTAAATATTTGTAAACGTACAATAGGTTTACAAATGAAGCTAGAGAGAGTTCAAACAATTTTGCTCTTACAATTTACAAATGAAGCTATAGAGAGAGTTCTCAATTAATTGATGTGTTTATTTTATGCCATTAGTTATATTTATAAACTCGACTTTCATCTATAATTCTTTTTAGTTTTGCGAAGGGGATTTTAGGTATTTTACTAAAAATAATGTTAAATAAAATGACAATTTAGATATCATATACTTTCACACAAACATAATCATCCTTCCACCTCAAAAAGCTTTGCAACGGTACCAACAAAAGAATTTCTAATTACCGTTTGAAGACTTAAAATACATATGTAGAATCGAAAACAAACCTCTTTTGCGAGAAGAAAAAAAAAAGTCATATTTTGTCTGCAACAATGCTAAAAGAATATTATGCTTTTCTATTAACTATTTAAAGTATCTTACTTAATGCAAAATTAAATATCTTCGATAATGTTAAGATCATCATTTCAAACTTTGAAAAAAGATACACGTTTTGTTTTTTATATATACTTTATTGTGTTGAAACAATATTATAATCTACAGAATAAACCTTTACATTTCAACTTAATTAAAGAAGGCTGCTAAAACGGTCTTCATAATTTGGTGGCTGAATATACCAACATATAACAAAGAATAGGTCGAGTTGACCACCCAATTCTTCCTGTATTTATTTCAAGTTTCTAGAATTCGGAAAAAAAAAAATCGTGAAAATGGTCAACTTTGAATACATGATGTAATTAAAAAAGTCTGAATTTCGTAATTAAACCAAAATAGTTCGTTACACCATCACAAAAAATATATATTAACCTCGTAAACTGGATAAAAAGTAAAAACATTCTCTACCGGCAAAATTCCAAGTGATAATATAAAAAACCTTAAACCTTAGAGCTCCACGTCCAAATCAGCCAATGCAAATCTATTGTTGGTGACCTCTTTAACTGACACGTCATCATCTCCCTCATCAACATTCATCCCATTACCCGATTCAATTTTGACATCGTTCATGGACTCGTCATCATCTCCTTCCATTAAAGCCAATTTATTAGCCTTTTTCCTTCTCTTTTTCTCAGCTTTCCTTAACTTTGTGTTTAAAACACCTTCAACAGCATACAATTTTTCATTCTGTCGACTATTTGAACTCTTAATCACCCCTTCCACTCTATCACCATCATCATCTTCACCCATCGCTTCATCCTCACCCACATGATTGATTTTTTCTACTTGGTTTTCATCACCAGATGGTTTATCCTTCTGTATAAATTGTTTTTATAGTAACGATCAGTTTGATGGTGAAAAAGGCAAACGAATAGTGTTAAAACGTTAAAGAAGAAGAAAAAAAACCTCAAATAGCATAATAGTCTGGTCAAAAGCAATGGGATTATTGGGTGGGAGAGTATCAGAGTTAAAATCATCTAGGGATTTTAAGCTTCCGATAATGGTGGAATCTGTGCCATATACTTCATCCACATTGAACTCCTTTCCAAGTTCAGAAACTATATTTGCCTCCATAACCACTCCTTCATTCCTAATTGGAGGCATCGTGTAATACGGAATTTTACCTGTCAAACGCAGTACAACCTTTTGTTATGTCATGTGGGAGTGGGAGTGGGAGTGGGAGGGGGCCCACAAGTAGAAAATGCAAATTTGTGATAAGATTCGATAATCGATACTCGATACGAACCTTCATTCCAATCATGCAACACGATTCTTGCAGCAGCATTGATATCCACAATCCCTCCCTTTTTAAGCTTACCTCTAATGGTGGCTACTTTGTAAAGGAAGTCATCAACAGAATCAAAGCCAGAAAGTTTGTATATCCTTGCCAACATTTGCTCAGGGCATAACTTGAGAATCTCCTTCACTGCAGCAATCCACAATCAAAAAAAACATTCAGACACAATACAACGCAGGTATTTTCAAGATATAAAAAAATAAATTTAAAATAACCTGGGGCAACAGGATCTTCAAGCTTTTCAATTCTTTTGCAATTGCGAAGTGCAATGGAAGCATCATTATGATTATCCCCGGATCCAGATTTAAGCATGACAACACCAGGGCAATCCAAAAGTTTAACATTTTTGTCCAACTGGACTTCTTGCATGGTTCTTGTCAGTCCAGGTGTCGCCCCCACATTCACCACATGGCATCTCTTCAAACTGTTGATTAGACTGCTCTTACCAACGTTTGGTAGCCCAACTACACCCACAGTGATTGACTTTTTAATCTGTATTCACACTCAAATGTATCAGATTAATTACAAGAAAGTAGAAACATACATCCTTTCTAAGATACAAATACAATCTTGGTTTGTAACCATATTATTGTCTAATGACAAGATATTATCAACTACATTTAGTATGTTATGTGAAAGAAGCAAGGAAAAGATTAAAATGCAGCTAGATATATGCATACCTCATGACTTCTTGAGTAATTTTTAAGCAACTTTAAAAGTGTTTCTGCTCCAAGACAATCACTTGTTTGCAACAGATTGCTTGTCTTCTTTGCAGACTTGGAAGACTTCCACCCAAGATTTGACCTCTGTTCTTGTGTACTGCACTTAAAAGCAACTGCAGGCAACTCCTCTCTAAGATACTTGAGCCACTTTTCAGCAGCTTCACGAGGAACAAGATCTGAT